GACTCATAACACTGAGGAGCCCCATGAATTCCAAGTTGGTTTCCCTCCTTTTTTTCAATGACAATGCATGAATTCCCCCGGCTCAGATCAAGGAGACAGAAGCATTATCCCACTAAGCATGAAGTCCGAAAGGGACAGGCAGTGACCCTACAATCAACACTGCAGTAGGAGCTGTTGCCAACCAAGGGGGCGGCTAGAATAACGGAATTCAGCGATGACACTAATAATTGCTATTGTCATTTACTGAATGTTTATCGTGGGCTGGGCACTGGGCAAAGCTGCTTCTGCAGATTGTCTTCTAATGGCCCTACATGATGAGCTCCATTTCCTAGATGAAGAAATCGAGACTCAGAGAAGGAAAGGAATTTGCCCAGGGTCATATTCCTGGTAAGAGTGGAGCTGAGAAATGAACCACATCTGTTGGACTCCAGAGTTGATTCTTAATCAAATCTATAGTGGGCCAAATACTGACCACTGTCCCTAAATAAAAAATACCCCCTCTTTTGAATATAATACTAACGACAATTCACATGTAGAAAGTATTTTCCATTTGCAAATTACATTTACACCTGGAATCTCACTGAATCATCAAAACAGCCTGAAGAGGTGGGCACTGTTCTGCAGATGAGCTCACTGAAGCTCAGAGAGCTTGAATGACTCCAGGATTAAGAAACAGAGGCTTGGGAACCAGACCAACCAGGGTTCAAACTCTGGCTCTGCCATTTTCATTCCTTCAATAAATATTTACTGAGCACTTAGCTGCATGAGCTCTGGCAAGTGACTTCATCTCTCAGAGCCTCCATTTCCTCTTTGTAAGAGTCTTCGCACCACTCATCAAGTCCATTCCCTCCCTCACCTTAAATTGCCAGACACTCACTTTCCCATGTTTCCCTGCAGCTAGAGCATGGGCATGTGACCTGATCCTGGCCAATGAGATTCAAAAAGAAATCTGCTATGAGGGCTCAGGGGAAAGATTTATCTCTCAGGAAAAACGTGGCACATAGGAAGAAATGTCCCTCTTCATTGGTTGGATATCATGTGTCTACATGTAAAAGCTGGAACTGGGAAGCCATTTTGTGATATGTGACACCAAGCCACCTTCGGGAGTTGGAGAGACAGAAGGATGGAAAGAATCTAGAATCCTGATGGCATCATGGAGCCATTAACCGGAAACCAGCTACCTTGGAACTTCCTGTTAAGTGAGATGATACATCTTCCTCCTTATAGAGGCCGCTTTGAGTTTTCTATTCTGTTACTTGCAGCCCAAACTGGCAGACTATTTGGATTGTTGAAGGAACTTCAAAGAGATAGTGGATGCAAAGCTGCACTAATAAGTGCCTGGCACAGTAGATAGCAGCTTCTCTGGAAATTAGGGCATCAACTTAGGGCCTGACTGTTCCAGGGAACGCAGATACTCCTAGCCTAGCAGATTGGTTCCCGCTCTCCCCTGAGAAAAGCCTGTAGTTTTCCGAGAAAGAGGAACCCCAGTGATGGCCCAGCACTGAAACCCTGTCACTTTGTTGGGGCTGACCCCAGCTTCCAAACAAGAATCAATCACACTGCATTTTGCCTAATGGATTTTGATTTTTCACTCCCCTGATGGTAAAGGCGAGGGCCTGTGCTTTGGTTTGTCTCTGCGTTGCCAGAACATCCCATCAATTATTAACAGCGTCAGCTCAGCCTCCCAGTACTGCTATCGGGAGGAAAGGGTTTGCCGCAACTCAGCCCACCCAGCCATAGAGAACGGACTCTGCTCCTTATTATTTATAACAATAAACCCCATCTACTCTGCACTAGGCACCGTGCTAAAGTATGACAAACATGATTTCATGATGACCCTTCAAGGAGGGCTTTTTATCTCCATTTTACAGGTGGGAAGCTGGGGCTTGGAGAGTTGAAGAACTTGCCTAAGGCCAGAAGCTGGAGAGGGTGGTGGAGCTGGGCCTGAAACCCAGGTCTGTCCTTGCTCTTCAACATATGAGATGTGGCCATTTTTTTATCTCGCAACCACCCAGAAACGATCCTCCATTTTACCCCCTGCTTCTGTGGCATCTGAGAAGTTTCCATGGGCCTCGCTGTCTGACAAGTAAGGCATCCCAATTGGGGAGATGGTATTGGTGGTATAGTGGTGAGCATAGCCGCTTTCCAAATTTGGGGGATGGGTGGGCTGAGATGAGCAAAGCACGGATGATTGAAGGAGGCCAGAGGCCCAGGGAACTGGGTTGCAAGTGGGCAGTGAGGACGAAGTGACAGATCCCCAAACCCTGAGATACAGTGACTGGCTGATTGCTTGATCCATTCATTGATTCTACATGTAGTTATTTGAGTTCCTCTGTGCCAGGCACCGTGATGGGTGCTCGGAACAGAGCAGTGAATACAACTGATGGCGCTCATATTCTTGTGGGAGAGAGACAGAGAAACAAAAGGAAGCAGATATGATTTCAGACGGTGCTTAAAGCCTATGCAGGAAAGATACTGCACAATACGACAGAGACTAAAGGGAAGGAGGTTATTTTACACAGGGCTCAGGAAAGGTCTCTCTGAGGAGGGGATATCTGGGCAGGGGGAATGAGGAGAAGAGGCTGGCCATGAGACAATCTGAGAAAGAACATTCTAGGCAGCAGGAAGAGCAAGTGCAAAGGTCCTGCGGTCAGATAAAGCCTAATCTGTTTAGGAAACAGCGTAGAAGAAATCAACTCTGAGAGGTCATGGGCTCAATTCAAGCAGGGTCTGGTATGCTATGTGAAGGTTTGGATTTTATCCTGCGTGTGATGGGAAACCTCTGGAGGATTTTAAGCAGGTGAATAATGTGATTCAATTTACATTTTGCAAAGCTCATTGTGGCTGCTGTGTAGGCAGTGGATTGCAGGGGGCATCAGGGGCTTCAAAATCACACTCGAGTTTGAATTTCTGGCTACTCCTGTGTTTCCTGCTCTGTAACCTCTCCGAGCTTAAGAAAGGCGGGATAAAATAGAGAATTGGCACAAGGATTAATTGCATTGTTAGACTTCATACACAGTAGATGTTTGATCAATGGCGGTCGGGATTTCTATACAGAGGGTCAATGAGCCTGTCTTCCAATTCCAGCTCTAGAGACAGAATATCCTAGATTGCCCATTTGCCAGGAATGTGTACCGGTTGAGCCTGGGATCACAGAGAGGTCATGAAGCTCATCCCTGCTAGTGGATTAACTAACCCCAGGGAGAGATGAGCTGTTTATTTCCAAACAGCATCTTTTGCAAGCCTGAACTCCCTGTCTTGCCCCATGTCAGCACAAACACTGTACTTTGCTTCTTCTCTAGGAGGGTGGCCCTTTCCCTCCCTGCCCCTCAATCCTACATCTTAGGGGACAGGACAGGGAGGAGGGAGAGTCATGATGGACCTACACATGGGCAGGAACCCATGTCAGGCCTGGAAATAGCAAAATAAGTCTGTTGATCCTAAGCCGGTTAAGGGTGAATGACTCTATCTTAAGAGAGAGGCTTTTTGGACACGAAACCTGGGGCAGGATTACGGCCAGAAGCAGCCCACAGCCTCAGAAGAGAAAATCAGGCCTAGGAATCTGTGTCCTCTTTAGGGTTGACAGAGAAGAGAGAAAACCTGCAGGCCTCCCTCCACCCTCCTACCAGCCAGCCCCTCCTGCATCTACTCTCAAAGGCCTCCCCTCTGGTGGTCAGATCTGGGGAAAGGACCCCACAGGGTCCCCTTCAGACCCAGCCCTGAGGGTGAGCCTTCAGTGAAGAGCTAACTAGGGCAGGGGGATCCTGCAATGGGAGGCCAGGCTGGATGGAGGCTGCCCTAGCTAATCCATCATGGCTGGCATGTAGGCTTCCTCCTCCCTCTTCCTTTTCTCATGAGTACACTGACCTACTCCCCTCCAATCCCCTTTTTTTGGCTCTGTTCTCAGAGAGCGAGTTATGTTCAACATGTCTCTCCCAAGTTGGTCTTCCTGGATTCCGACATTAACACCTCTCTTTTCTAGGCTCCCCCTGGGCCCCACATGACCTCTTTTAGAGCGCTGAACACAGTGTTGTCACTTATCCTGACACCTAGCATGTTGGCCATTTGAAGACAGGCCCCATCTTTCTGAGGCATTCCTAAAACCCAGCCTGACACAGAGAAGTTGCTCATCAACCAGTGACTTCCGATCCTGGCCTGGCCCCCACCCAAAGCCTCTTTCAGTCCCTTATAGCTTCTGCCTTTACCCAGCAGCACACAGGACTCCCTGGGCCACCTGGTGTGATCAAACTCATTCCTGCCGCCTTCTCCTGCTTCATTTTTCGCATTGCCTCATTTTTCTCTCCTATTTCGAAATTTACATTCTCTTCCGACAGCCAAAGCATCTTCACAAGCGGCATCAAACCATGCTTGGAATAAACTCACCAAATAAATAAAGAACAAACCAGGGGTGACCCTTCACCCGCAAGCATCCACAGCCAGCCGCATGCGTCATGTGTGCACACACCCACCTCTGAGTCCCTTTGCCTCATTTTTCTTACTTATGTTAAAACTGCCTGACAGTATCTCAATGTCTTTAAGCAAGTCTGTAAGCTGCTTCCATTCTCTCCTCGAGGCAAATGGGTTAAAAATACAAGGATAAATATTAAAATCGCAGGGTGACACCCCCTCTATCCTCAGCCTGGGACTTCTCAAGGGACCATTATGTAGAATAGACCAGACTCAACTCTACTCCATCCCAAGGCTTCGTTGCGTCTCTGTGCTCTTTCTTATTTGCAATGTCCTTCCTCTCGTTGTGGGTTTTTGTCTCTGTAAATCCTTTTCTCTAACAAAGTAGGGTATAAACTATTGAATAAAAGGATGGGGTGACCAATGCCACATAGGAACAGTCTGAAGGAGTTGGTCCTCACCTCCGATGTTCTGGCCATAGCTCCTCTGCCCTACCGGTCTTCATATTTGGGAACTAAGCCAGAGTCCCCCAGCTGCGGTCCTCAATCTGGAGACGCAGGAAGAGCCCCCCAGCGCCCAGATGCCAGACTCACCTTGGCAGCCACAGAGGAATTGGGTTTCTCCAGTAGGTCCCAGAGTTTTTTCCTTTTCTCCGCGCAGCAAGTGTTATCGAACTCCTCACCCTCTCGCTCGCGTAGGGTCTCGGCCTCACGCTTGAGCTCCTCGTTCATCTGCTCCTTCTTCTGGTGGTAGCGGGCCTGGCAGCAGGACTCCAGGTAGATTTCGTCGATGCCCCAGTAGTCGAGCTCTTGGCTGAAGCTGAGAGCACACATCTCCTCCATCATGTGCAGCCGCCCAGTGCGGTAGAAGTTGAGAATGGAGGTGAAGGCGCCTGGGTGGCGGTCGAAGAAGTACTCATTGTCATCGAGGCTGTAGTCGTCGCATACCTCGAGCAGTGAATCGTGAGTGTTGCAGTCACGGAGTTTGCCCAGCCTCGTGCGGGGCAGGCGGTCCAGGGTGCGCCAAAGCACCTCGTGCGCCAGACCGCCAACGTTGAGGCGTACGCGCCGCGAGCACGCCTTGCTGCGAACGATCTCCATGGGCTCGGGCGGCAGCGAGCTGGTGGAGCGGGAGCCATGCTTCGTCATGCCCGCCGGCATCGCTGGTCCGGCCTCCCCCGCCCCCCCTGCCCCGCCAGGCCGCTGTCACTGGACGGCAAGGCCGGCTGCCTCGGGGGAGGGGGGCAGGGAGCGCTATGGGCTGTTGGGGGTGCAGGGACCCGCGCTGGAGCGCGTCACGGCCGTCTTCTCACCTCCATCCCGACATCTGCAAGGCAGAAAGCGGACAAAGGTTAGCAAACAGGGAGCTGGGTGAGGCCCCTCCCCACCTCTTCACCCGGGCCCCAGCCGGCCTTGACCTTCCCCGCACTTAAGCGGCTCAGGGGCGGGGGCAGAAAGGCTGGGCGCTGTCCTAACAGCCGGTGCTGAAGTCCGCCCCACCCCATGGATGAAGGGAGGGGCCGCCCTTCAGAGCTAGAAGAGGGCCCCCAAGAGGCGCCCCAAGGACCCGGGAGGCCCCACCCCGGCTTCTGCAGCCCAGGCCCGATCCTGCCGCCTGGGGCGCTGTCCGTCCCTTCGAGTGCTGAAACTCTCTTCTCTCTAGGTCTCCTTGTTGAGTCCCGAACCCGGCCCCGCAATGGGGAGAGAGGGGAGCTCCATGAAAAAAACTTTTTTTTTTTTAAAAAAGACTTCCTATCTTTTCCTTCCCCTGCTCCGAGATAAATAGGATTTGAGGGCAAGGGGGTGGCAGCAGGTTTGCTTTTTCTAAGCCTTAAAATACTTGGGGGGATTTCGCGGGGGGCGGAGGGGGGGGGAGTGCCGGTGTCAGGTGCCCACTTGTCGGAGGTCACAACACACAGGGTGGTCACAACAGCCACACTGTCCTGGAGCGACCTCTCTCCCCAAGCCATGGGAGCATTTCTTGAGGTCTCTCCGGCAACGAGATGAGCCCTGAAGACGCTAAGCCAAGCTCTGCGAGGGGTCCCATCCCTACCTCTGCGCCCCCTAACCCACCACGGGAGGGGTGCGCAGAGTCCTGGGAATCCACCTGCTTCGTCCTCCCCTCGCTCCTTCCCCTCCTCTTCCTCCTCCTCCTCCTCCTCCTTCAGGTCCTCTAGGATGAGGTTGTCCAGGTCTTCTAGGAGGCCCCCCTGGCTCAGGCAGGTGGCCACAGTGGAGCCACTGCTGATGTGGGGGTTGCTGGGGTGTATAACTTTGGGTAACTCCGTGTTCTGCGCCTTTCCTGGGGCTTGGAAGGGAAGGGGTGGGGGAGGTGGGAGGCGGAGAAACAAGCTGAATTTTCTGGCCTTTTCAAAACGTGCCCTCCTCCTGCCGCGCACTGGTGATTTCGGGGGCTCCTTTGAGCCCCAAGGCAGTGAGGCTCACGCCCCCTCCCCTCGCCCTGGAATGGATATCGCGCGTCTCCCCAGGCCCCAGCCCTTGTCCGCCCCCCCACCCCCCACTCCAGCCTGGAGCCGCGGAGCCTGGGTAGACCAACAGGCCGAGCTGCAGCAGGCGAGCCCCCTGC